AAAAGCCATACATTTCTGTCATTAGCTGTGACTTGAGCTGGAGTTTCTGGAAGTTCCATCTATTCAGTAGTTTGAAACAGGGAGGTTTTGCCTCACCCTGGATTGAAAGGACCAAACACCCCACAAGGGATTTCCAGACACTTAATGTCTGCAGGTTTTCCTGGACAGATACTCTTGCTCTCTCTAGGAGGAATGGCTCAGGTATATTCAGCAATTGTGCATCAAATTCAAATATTTCACTGTCTTTATCTCTCATGATGTTTATCCACTCCTCTGCTGCTTCCTCAGTTTGAGGGTGTTTGAGCTTCCATGGATTTTAATATTAATCCTAAAAGTTGGTTTCTTAATGTTTTTCTTTTGAGACAGTTTCTGAAGTATCCTTGGAATGATTGATGTTTAGTTTCATGCAAATAGCTTTTCCAGGCTGATAAACTGAGGACCTCCACATTAGGTCAGCAAATTCAGTTTTCACTTGCCAGGACAGAATTACCAACCTGTAAATAATCTGCTCTGCTATATGGATTTTTATAATCTTTAAAAAGATTATTTTGAGTTGCTCCTTTGGAAAATTCCAAAACGGTGTCTTGAGCCACTGGGAAGGTATATAAACAATGCTTTCTAAATAATTTAAAAATGCTTTTTAAATGTTACAATTCTTTGTTCAGTCCTTGGAAACATCAAGAGATTGCTCCACTTGTGTAAACACTCTGATTTACTTGCTCTCTGCTTAGGCAGCAGATCAACGTGATACCAAAAACTTGCACAGAAACCTTTTGGGTCTGGTGAAATAAAGGCTCTCTTTGTTCCTGCTGTGATTGACTCGCTGCTGCAGAGTAGGTGACATGTTTTGCCTACCAAGCATGTTTTCTAAGCAGAGTTTATATAAAGTTCATGGAACATTAAAACAGATAGCCTCTTCTCTACTAATAAAATCCTCTTTATTATATTATTGGAAACAAAGTTAATACAGAATTGCTTTTCAGGTTTGTGATGGGCCTTCTGGAATGAAGTCATTGGATTATGGTTTTCTTTTGCTGGCTTGGATTGATGAAGCTGGTTTATTCCCTTTTTCCATAGACATTTGGACGTTGGTAAAACTTCATCACAATCCTTTCTATAAAGTTTTAGAAAACTTGATGGTGACAGTGCACGTGTTCTGCATTCACTGCAGCATGTGGAGGGCCCTCAGTGTGAAAGTGTGCTTAAGTATTTGTCACTGAGTTTTTCTTGTTCCAAACACTGCTTTTAACAAGGGGAAAGGCATTTGAGATCTGTTGGATTCCGTTATTCTTCTTTTTTAATTTGAATTGGTTCTCTTTCCAGTGCACTGGCCCAGTGGCCTCGGAGCCTTACCTGAAGCTCTGAGATGTGTTTTATCTTCCTCCTATTCCCTGTCAAAGTCAAACACCATATTTTGGGGTTTTTTTAATTGCTCCTCCAGTTTCTGTCTCCATATCTGCTGTGGAAGAATTTAGTCCTGCTTGAATCCATATCTTGCTGGTGGTTTTGATTTTTGTTCGAGCACTTGAAAAGTGAGGATGTCTCATTGAGGCTTAAAAAGCTTAAAGCAGGTTGTGGAAATAAAGATGATGTGCAGAAGGAGAGGAAAGCTTTGCCAGATTGTAGCTGCTGGATCTGGGAGAGCTGTAGGAAGCTTTGGATGGCTCTGGGGGAAGCAGACTCTGCCCTGTCTCCATGTGCTGATGGATCAGGGACCAAAACCTCTCTTTAGTTTGACATTTCTGTGATCAGTGGCTTGGTTTGACTATAGGGTTTTCTATCTCTGAGGTGGAGATACAGCTGTGCAGCAGCTCTGTGTTTCCATAGTGTTTTTCTCAACTGTTGCAGAACATTTTCATTCATAAATAGATTACAGGTCATGTAGGTGATTCCCACCCCACGACCCCTTTGCTTTCAGGTCACTAAAAACCATTATTTGAAAGCATTTAGCTGTCTCAGAAGTGTTTCTACAACAGTAAGTATCTGTGAAGGGATATTGAATGGAACTAAAGGACAAGTGTATAGATCTGTGCAGAGAAATACTTCCAAATATGTAATAATCTCTGAATTCTTTGTTCCCAGTTATGCAAGAAGGAGAAACCTGGTTCACTTGGTACTGGTATTGCAGGTGCCCTGCAGGAATGCGGGTGTACCTTGCTGTCCTGATTTTTGTCTTTGTCACAATCGTGTCTTTATCTCTTGTGATTGATGCTGCCATGTAGTGTTTCAGACCCTCAGCTCTGGGAAGTCACGCTGCAGCTTGGTGTCAGAGATGTCCTGAGATGCTTGAGGGGAGGAGAAGACAAATCTGATCTCCAGCTTATGGTGTGACAGATAACACTGTGGCCTAGGAGGGGTTGGGGTATCAGATAAGGGGTCAGTGGTTATTTATCTCTGACATTGTGCTGGAAGGAAAGGGCACTGGAATGCATCCTATTTCCAGCAGTCATCAGTGTGGTGACAGTAGGGCACTGCACATCTGCTTCTCCCTTAAATCTCCCTTCCAAGTGCTCCTGGCACTGGGAAGGGATCATTTCCCAGCGTGTGGCCAGCAGGAGCAGCTCTGTGTTTGCAGGCTCACCCCTAGGGACAGGAGGGGAAACACCACAGTTTGGGGATACTTTCTTGTGGTGCTGAAGGGCTAAAATCATCGAGGAATTACAATTGTCATTGGAAAAAAGAAGGACAAGATGGGTACATGTTTTGGGCAATGAGGATGTTAACACAGATGAGAATCCACAAGCAAATCGGGCACTGGGGAGGTTGAAAAGCTCCCTCTGTCATTTCTGCTAGGGAATGTATTTGGTTTTAATTTAAAACTGATCCAGTACTTGGAATGATCTGCGTGGTGTCCGTCAGGCACTGGAGAGTTTTCAGTACCTTCTCACCATTGCCTGAGCCTGCTGGACTCCTTGGAGGTGTGGGGTATGGGTGCTGAAAGTTTGTGCGCTTGAGACTGTGATAAAGCAGGGTCTGTATCAGCTTGGAAATCACTGGGGAAATGCTTGGATTCTCCTGTAAATTAAAATTAAAAAAAAAATTTAAAAAAGCGAGAATGTCTGGGATCTCCAGAAAAGTGGTTGTCTTTCTGTTGTGTGAGATTTGTGTTATTATTAAATATGACATACAGCATCATTAGACCTAGGAAAATAGAGATTATTGTCCTTAAACAAAAGTTTTTCTGGCTGCGCTTGCTGCCTGTTCTAAACTTTCCAGCAACTTCCACCAAATAAGTACTTTGATTAATTTATCCATCTGTTCTTAGATAGATATGAGACTTCTAAGGCAAATTTTTCCCCGCTCTTCTCTTTCCACATACATGGACACATTTGATTTGCTAATAACTCACTGTATTGTCTTACCAGTTTCAAGACTGTCAGAGCTTGTCGTGTTAAGTCTTTGCTTTTCTCAATAGTAATTATTCTGTGTACTTCTCACTGCTGAGATATATTAGTGTGTTTTTCTTCAATTAATTGATAACTTTTTAAGGTCTTTTCCTAGTGGAGGAGTACAACCATGTGCTTTTGCATTGTGTGAAAAAGTCCAAAGTTGGACTGCTTGGTTTGCACCTCTCTTTCTGCACGTTAATGAATTGGTTCTTATCTCTGTGCCCCGTTCACCTGGGAGAGGTACCCATTAAATACCACATCTGCAGCTCAGTGGTTTGCATCTTAAGCCTTATGGATGTGAGATAAATCACTTAAACGTGGTCAGAAGTAGAAGAATGACTGGCTGAAGTAACTGCTGTCTGGGATAAAAAATGATGAGCACTGGAATGAAAGGAGTTTTTTTGTGCGTGATCTGGATCCTGGCTCAGTGAGGTGCAGGCTGAGGTTGTATTTCTGTCCTTAACTCTATTTGGAGACATTCCAGCCAGTATAAGCAGTGCCAGGTGACAGTGGCAGGGAGGTTGGTGGGGGGATCTCTAGGGCAGCTTGTGCTACAGAATGCAAAACTCTGTGGAGCTGGTGTTTGGCTCTGAGTCAAGCAGGTATTGATCTTGTTTAAGTCTAAAATGTTATGAATGCAATGGAGAAAAAGAAACCATCCCACAGAAAATACTGTTTATCTACAGCTGACTTGCATGAAAGTGAAATGGCTTTAAGACTTGCGTATGTAAAACTCTGAAGTAGTTTCTCCAGCAGAAAATTAGATTTATAGAGTTGTGTTTCAGTTTGGTGTTTCAAAAATGGTTTGACTTCTGATTCAACTATTTGGGAGTCCAGGGAGCATTTGTCCCTTTGGAAATTTGAATGGGTGTGTTTGAACCTAAGTTCTAATTTGTCCTATCTGATGCATGAACAGCTCAGTTTGATACTAGGGATTACTATTCTTGTCAGTGGATCTTCACAGTTTAATTTTAGCACTCCCTATAAAAACACTAGTGATAATGTAAACCTTCTTCATCCAGAAGAGGTACTCAGGTGTTTTGGAGACTGTTGAGGTTTTTTGCAGCTGTTTATTCCTTGCATTCCTTAAACATGGATATCTGTGCTTTTCTCCCCTGATACCTTTTGCCTTTAAGTTATCAAATGTGTACTGAGTCCTTAAAAAAAAAAAAGAAGGTGCTTTGAGGTCATATGGATAATGATTGTATCTAAATCATACATTAGGAAAAACTGAGAAAATAAAGGTTATTTACAGTTGCTAAAGTTTATTTACAGTTGCTCTAGGAAGGTACAGTCTGTATGATCTAAAGTAGAGTCAGAGTAGAAAAATCAGTTTTAAGAGGTTGAGGATATTAAACCTTTAAGAAAAAAGTAATGCACAACACCGTGCTTGTAGCTCTGGTGTGGTGATCTATAAAAGCTTCTCAAATGTACAGCTTAAAAAACTACTGCTATTTTTTGGAAGAAACTTGTACTTGCATTTTATAGATGTCCTTTAACTTAAGTATGATTTTTTTAAATGGTTTGGGTTTTTTTTTAATCGTGGCTTTCTTGGTCATTGGTATTTAGAAGAATGATTAATCTGTGGCATTTATTTTTGTTGTTCTGCAGCGGATATAATTTCTACAGTAGAATTCAACCATTCTGGAGAGTTGTTAGCAACAGGAGACAAGGGAGGGAGAGTTGTCATCTTTCAACAGGAGCAGGAGGTGAGTGCTGTCTAATTACAGTGTTACATGTTCTTTCTATTCTGTTTTTAAAGACAAGGAGCATGTTTTTATAAAACCCCTTACACAAAGTGCATGCCTACGTGATAAGTGATTACAATATTGAAATTTAATGAGAACTTTGTGATAGAAGTTATTTTAAACGCGCTTTGGTTGTGGTCTAAAGAGTGTTGGAAGTGAAAACCAAAAAGGGGTAGGACACAAAAGACACTTGAAGGAGCTGAAGTTGGTTCTTATCCAATGACTCTTCCTGGCTGTGATGATGATTTCAGATTTCACTGTAACTGGGGATATTAAAAGTTGCCTTAAGTAAGTGTGTGACTGTGGCCTCCGATGTCCTTTTCCACTCTGGTATCAGTCGAGTAAAACCACAAATCCCCGCAGCAGAGGTGTCTTTTCTCCCTTTATCCTTCTTCTTGGTCTGTCGGCTCTACCTGCACATCAGCTGAGCTGCAGTGCCTGATTTTAACTGAGGCTGTAGTTGGAAGTTGCTGTGGTTAGAATGGATTTCAGGGAGGTGTCACCTCACTGCCTGGAGATGCCACTGTTAGTTTTTGTTTAGTTTTTCCTTCAATTGCTGTTTTACAACTCCCAAAGCTTGGGATTTCCGGCTCCCGAGCAGGGGGCCGATCCGTGGGCGAGGCACGGTCCCTGTGCCAGCAGCTCCCCTCGGTCAGTGGGGACATCTAGTGGGGCTGCGTGGCACCAGCTCTTGGGGCATTTTGTGGCCTTTTATCGTATTCCTTTTATTTCTTTGTTACTTTTAATTCTTGAGTTGTAGCTTGATGCTTTTAACAATCCTCTTGTGTAGCTTAAAAATGCAGAAGTTCCTTGCCAGCTCTCAGGTGAGCTGTATTTAAATGACTCCTTGGTTTTTGGAGCATAATCCATGCTCACATCCTTAGGAGCTGGGATCCAGGGGTTGGAAGAACCTGGGCTGTCAGAAATTCCACAGAATTGTTTTGGGCATTTTTTGATTTCTCTGTATTTAGGGAATGATTTGTGTTTAGGGACTTAGTTCCCTGATGCATTGGTAGTTGGTTGTTCCAACAAACTGTCTAGAGCAGATTTTATACATGAAAGTGTGTAAAATATAAGTGTTTTATTTGGAATTCTGTGCCCCTTTCTGCCACACTGCACTGGAGAGCTTTGCAGGCCACGCCTGCAGGAAGAGAAGCACTGACAAGGGCTGTGTGAAGAGCTGTGCAAACCTGTGTGCCTTCACCCACTGCCAAACTGCTGCCACCTCCGGGCTGGAATGTGGCAGCCGGTGACATCAGCTCAGTGCCAGGCAGGAAGTGAATCCTGCATCTCACAGAAACTGAGCAGGAATTTGCGTAGGCACAGTGCAATTACCTAAATTGGAATTTAACATCAGGCACTTGGGCCAACACCTCTCCTAGTTTGGAATTTTTTGTTTTCCTTTGAGCACCATGAGACAGACCTTGATTTTATCCCAAGGATGGATTTCACATATTACTTGGTTTATGTATTATTCTGGTCCTGTAAACTTTTACTAGAATACACACATAGAATATTTAAGCCTCAGTTGTTATGGTAAGTCTGGAATTGAAGAAAAGTTCCCTGGACTTCCTAAGGCATCCCTACAGCACAATAGATTTCCTTTCCAAGTTGTTGCATGCAGTGACCCAGCTTCACTTGTTAGTTCTGACTGAGGCTTAGAACCAAGTCCCTTCCCTTCTCCAAGGTGGGAAAAGCAGTGTAAGGGACAGGTGTGGTACAGAACTCTGGTGCTAAATGTGATTTCTAAGCATTTTGCCCCCTTGTCCCTTCCCCAACCCCAGCTTATTTTGAAGTGTAAGAATTCCTGCCAGTTCTCATGGTATGAAGCATGAGAAAATGATGTAAGGAATGTGACAAATGTGGGCCAGCAAGGGCTGTATCAGATGTGTTTTGGTGAGGTACTGAGGGATTAAATGAGCCCATGGACATGAGACACCAGAGAAGGAAGGAGTGAAGTCCCCAGCCAGGAACATATCACAGCAAAGGCATCTGATGGTGCAATCTCTGGAGTGGGTGGGACAGGAATAAATCACAAAATTCAGCTTGAAACAACTACAGGTGAGCATGGGGAGTACTACACCAGAAATGGATCTAATTTTCTGCACCATTGGATGAAATTCAAGGTTCAGTCCATGCAGTACAATATTTTGGTGCCTAAGACGTAGCTTTTGGAAAGAGGAATTGTGCAAATTTTTCAGTTTTGCAAACACATCCACCTGGACAGGTAACTGCAGGAGTGACTCTAATGCCAGAGCAGAGGTGATGAGCTTTTTGCCCTTCTAGAATGAGGAATAAAAAGCTGCTTAAGCAGTTCAGAAGCTCTCAGGGGACTTGGACATTATAAACCAGAATAGTGAAGCTGCTGGTATAAATTTAGAGGTGCCATGTGGGATTCCATAGTGTGCCTGGAAAGCTGAATGTACTCACAGAGTAGATTTGCCATTTGTGTGTCTGTGTTGCAGGGGAAGGAATATTCCCTTTAAACAGCAAAGGTGGAAAAATTAAAGAAGTTGTAGTTTGGTTTTTGGTTTTTTTTTTTTTTTATGAAATGTTCAGGTGAAATGTTTGTTTGTTCAGCTGCTCAACATTAGTGAAGGAATATTCCCTTTAAACAGCAAAGGTGGAAAAATTAAAGAAGTTGTAGTTGTTTTTTTTTTAAATAAAATGTTCAGGTGAAATGTTTGTTCAGCTGCTCAACATTAGCATGAAAACTTCTTGGAGATGTTATTCACATTCTGTGGCGAGTTTCTGGAAACTTCAGCTGCTGCATAAACTGTGTCTTCTCTGATGTTTTCTTAGCCAAAATAGTAGAAACTTTAATAAATTTCTTGCAACAGAGATGATGCTCATTTTATTTGGTTGACAGGATCATGAAAATCAAGCAGGTTGTACCCCAATGTACACTGTATACATGTCTTGATCATTTAATTCTCTTTTTAGAACAAAACCCAGTCTCACAGTAGGGGAGAATACAATGTTTACAGTACCTTTCAAAGCCATGAACCAGAGTTTGACTACTTGAAAAGTTTAGAAATTGAAGAGAAGATCAACAAAATTAGGTGGTTACCCCAGAAAAATGCTGCTCAGTTTTTATTGTCTACAAATGGTAAGTATTTTGCACCATAAAATGTTATTGTGTAGGTTTACTATTAGGATTTGATGTAATCCTCTCCAAAAGGCTGGAATGAAGCAGGGTTTAACTACAGGGATCTGGGGATGTGGTTCTGTCTTCCTGGGCACAGGTGTCCCCAGAACAGGGTTGGGTATTTGGGATTTAGTTGCTTTACAGTCTATGTGAAACCTTCATGTGTATGTCAGTCCCTGTGTCAGAGCTTCCATTAATCATTCATAGCAATCCCTGTCCTGACTGAAACTTGCTCTAACTCTTATAAAAGAACAAATTGTGGAGGAGGTTTTTTAATGCATTTTATCTTGTCTTGTTTTCCCCAAGCAGCATTTTTGTCTTTTTTTGGTGCACGTGGGCGGCCTTGTCTTGTTTGAAGGCATCAACAGTGATGACTGGTGTCTCTCCACAGCTCTCATTTTAAACTGTGGCTGTTTCATTGCAGATAAAACAATAAAGTTATGGAAAATCAGTGAAAGGGACAAAAGACCTGAGGGTTATAATTTAAAGGAGGAGGATGGACGGTATAGGGATCCTACTACAGTTACAACACTACGGGTGAGTAGCTCACAATCAGCTAATTCCTCCTCTCCCAGCCCATGGCTCTGGGAGGAAGTGCGCTATCACATCAGTAACTTAATCTTTGCTTTGATGTCACTTGGCAGAAATACTGATTTTTAAGATCTTTCATCCAGCTCGGGATGTTGAAGGACTGTGCTGAGCAGTGCTGATGTCTGTGGTAGCTTTGGATCTCACTCTTGCCCTGCTCTGTGTTTTAGGTGCCAGTGTTCAGGCCTATGGACCTCATGGTGGAAGCCAGCCCACGAAGGATATTTGCCAATGCCCACACATATCACATCAATTCCATCTCCATCAATAGTGACTACGAAACGTACCTGTCTGCAGACGACCTGCGGATCAACCTGTGGCACCTAGAAATCACAGACAGAAGTTTTAGTATCCTTTTGCCTTTGGTCTGTGGGATGGGAACAGGAAGACTGTTGGGTTTTATTTCCTCTCATGAGAAGTGTTTAGTGTATATACAGAGAATTAATCCTGGTTATTTCCCCCTGGTAATTGTAAGGGCTTTTACTTCTGGAGAAGAAATGGTTTGGTTTGGAAGGGACATTAAAGCTCATCCAGGTGAGCAGGACCAGCTTGCTCCAGCCTGGCCTTGGACACTTCCAGAGACGAAGCAGCCACAGCTGTGTGAAGTTTTTAATACAAAGTAGCATTTTGTAACATAGCGGAATAATTAGAATTTAAGCAAAATAAAGTTCTGTATTAAATACTTGGGAGATAATTTGTAGTATAGAATTAATTACTACTGGAGTGTGGAGCAAAACTGAAGCAAGTTTTTGCTGCTGTAATTATCCTGAAACTGATTCAGAATGTGATTGTTACCACTTTGCTTTGTAGACAAATTGTGTGGCTTGATTTTAACTCTTACCTGGATTATGCCTGGGTCCCACAAGCCTGAAGTAGCATTTCTGAAAGCACCTAAAACTGAAAATTAACTTGGGAAAAACCCATTTTGCTGGAGGCAATTCCTTAAAGAGCTGCTGCAGATATTGTAGATATCAAGCCTGCCAACATGGAGGAGCTGACGGAGGTGATCACAGCTGCAGAGTTCCACCCCAACAGCTGCAGCACGTTTGTCTACAGCAGCAGCAAAGGCACAATTCGCCTGTGTGACATGAGGGCATCAGCCCTCTGTGACAGACATTCAAAGTGTGAGTGCTGCAGTTTAGTGTCTCCCTGTGCCAGAGAACATTTGCTCTTAAGAGTTTATCAAACACTGAATTCTCTGTGTGGATTTGTGTAGGATTCCTGTAGTATATTGAACAGATCTAAAGCCTAAAATCTAAATAAATCTTAAACTTACATTTATGTTTTTCTGGAGTCAAAATAGTGAATAAAATGAGTAGCAGCTTCTGTTTGGACACCAGGAATGGCTTTTTGCAGACTTCAGGTGGTTAAAGGCCATTTGGTCTGTACTTGTTGCTGGAAATCTGGTGCATGTGTGAATCAAGACTTCATATTACCAAAGAATTGCTTTTATAAGAAGCTGGCCTTGGCTTGCTACAATAACAGAGTATGGCAACTGTATAACAACTGTTTCTCCTTAACAGTTATTTTATACAACACAGAGTAACACAAGGTAGAAAGCTTATTGAGACAATGTTAAAGTAATTCAGGTGTGTCTTGTATCAAGAGACACAAACTGACCTCTTGAAATGCCTGTCTTATTTTCTGGCAGTGTTTGAAGAACCAGAAGATCCTAGCAACAGATCATTTTTCTCTGAAATCATCTCTTCCATATCTGATGTCAAATTTAGCCACAGTGGTCGATATATGATGACTAGAGATTATCTGTCAGTGAAGATCTGGGATTTAAATATGGAAAATAGACCTGTGGAAACATACCAGGTATTGGGTGAAAATCATGTGGGTTGGAAATTTAAAAACCTGGACAGAGGCCGAATCTTACTGATAGTCTTGATGTGGCAGTTACAGTTTTGTCTGTAGATTCTGGTAGAGCATCCCTGAGGTTTGGGGATTTCACACTCCTGCTGAAAGATCGTGGTATTTGCAGGGTGGTGGCAGAACCCAAACCCGTGTTTGGGGGTGAAAAAGTCTCCCTCTTACCCAGTGGGAATCTGCGAGGTGGAGAGGTGATCTGCAGCCATGAGAACCATGACAAGTCTTTGGTTGTCTTTATGTTCTGTGTTATATCCTGAAGAAAACAGGAGATAAAACATTTCCTTTTCATAAAGTGTTTTTAGCTGCCACTGAGAATTGCTGGTTTTGTTATAAGAAAGAGCTCTAGGGAGCAGTCTCAGGTTCCTTGCTTTTGGAACAGTCTGGGAAGGCTGTTTTACAGGTGTATGAGTCTAATGCTCACTCAGTTTCTCTGATCTCTCCTTTCCAGGTGCATGAATACCTCAGAAGTAAACTCTGCTCACTGTATGAGAATGATTGCATTTTTGACAAGTTTGAATGCTGTTGGAATGGATCAGACAGGCAAGTGGAATTCTTATCCCTGTGCACTTCAGGATCTTTTTGGATCTTTCCAAATTATTCTTAAAATGGGCAGTGGACCTCAAATACTTGGTTTTGGACAACACTGCAGTACTTCAGTAGACTGTAACATGTGTATTATTAACTGTAAGAATTGCACCAGACCTCTAGGGGAAGCAGTGGGAAAACCTTCCAGGAATGTTCCTTTTTACAGTGATTTGCCATGGTAGTGACCTGTCAATAACACCACTTAGGACAGCTCTTGATTCTGTGCTAATCATGCCATTAACTGCTTATTTGTGCATTTAAAGCAGCTCATTGGTTCCCTGTCAGTACTGTCAGACATAGTGCACCTTTTTTTTTTTTTTAAATCTGGCATCTGTCTGCTCAAATATGTTTTGAGGCAAAAGAAGGACAGGGAAACTTGTATTTTTCTTACTGAACAGCTGATGCAGAATGAGGAGCTATAGGGGATTTTCACAAAGTAGATGTGCTGCTTAGTACCTAAATTTCCACAACTTGTGTGTCGCTGAAAATGCGACATGTTTGGGGTTTGTTGGATCTCTCCCGTGTGTGTGAAAAGCAAGTTAAATAATGACATTCGAGGTGCTTCGATAACAAAATATGTCAAAGGGCCCAGGGAAGGAAAAAGGGTATTTTTGGGAGGTTTTAAGTTTGTAAAACATTGCAGTACCTGCTTCCCTTTAGCTGTAGCAGGTGTGGCTGTGGCACCTCCCTTCCATTTGCATCATCTGAGTTGAGACCCCCCTTGAGACCCTCTGGCTTGCTAAAAGGAGGAGGAATTCCTAACTGACATCTTTCTTCCTTCCCCCTCTGTGCAGCATTGTCATGACAGGGTCTTACAACAACTTCTTCAGGATGTTTGACAGAAACACAAAGCGAGACATCACCTTGGAGGCGTCGCGGGAGAACAACAAACCCCGCACGGTGCTGAAGCCGCGGAAGGTGTGCGCCAGCGGCAAGAGAAAGAAGGACGAGATCAGTGTCGACAGCTTAGACTTCAACAAGAAGATCCTGCACACAGCCTGGCACCCCAAGGAGAACATCATTGCTGTAGCTACCACAAACAACTTGTATATATTTCAAGACAAGATGAATTAGGGTTGGCATTCCTAACTGAAGAGTCACTTCCTGCATAGTTGAAATAGTTGAATCTAGCATTTGTACCTGTAACAAAAGCAAGTGAGAGGTCCATTATGGCACCCCTTTCCAGTGTTTAAAAATGTGCCATATGACAACACACTTTTATAGCTCCATGGAGAAGGCTCTGTGGCTCTGTTGTCTCCGTACCTGCTAGCCATTTAGGTGAGGATAGGGCACTTTTTAATTTAAATGACTACTTGCACCATCTTGCCTAATGGACTAGACTGGACTGTCTCAACATCGGTTTACTCCACTTTTTATGCCTTCCATTGTGATGACGTCAGACACAGGGAAAGCCTTCAATCATGCTATGGGATTTAATTGTGTAACCTCATTACTGTATCATTCGTGGCCCCCTTTTTTTATTAAATACAGCTCATTCTTGCTGTGGCTTGTAGCATTCCTCCTCCTTCTGGCCTCCTGGACTCCCCCTTCCCCCTTCGTCCCCCCTCCACCTCGCCTCGGTGGTGGTGTATGGAGAAAAAAATAAACAAAATAAAGCACATAAAATGGGTCCGTTTGGGGTCAGTGGTAAAGGGGGTCTGTGTTGCAACAAATGTTTTAATAAACAGTTGACTGTAATCACTCCTTGCCATGTCTGGCACCAAAAAAAAGAGAAAATAAGGAAAAAAACAAACTACTGAATAAAAGTGACAAAGAATGGAGAATCTGTTTTCTTTTTTTTTTTTTAATCTACCTCTTTATACAAATACTCTGTTTTACCTTAGATGCATGAAAATAAAATTATGTTTTTTGTAATGATTTTAACCAGTATTAATTATTTTTCATGGGAATGAAGAGAGGGAGGGATTTCACAGGTACCTGCATTTACTCCTCAGTAACCTGGGCACCAGCCAATGTATGACCACTTCCATCTTGGCATCACAACTGCTTTAAGGTTTTGATCTGAGCAGTCACTTCCTGTGCCCTTGAATGCTCCTCTTTTTAACCTGTTGCTTTAATCAGAAAAGGAATAGAATCTTCAGGTTTTAAATTCCATTTTTTGGGACTGATGTCTTAATGTTTAGTTTTGTCCTGGTTTCTTCAATGCCTTGTTTTAGGATAAAATACCTTTAATGCCTTGTTTAGAGCACCAAGTCCCCTGTGGCTTTGTGAGAAGTTGTCCGAGCTCCTGTGTGGTGTTCCGTAGTACCAGCCAGCACCATGGTTCCATAGCTAATGACTGCACTGCATTCTGCTGCTCTATTTTCTGTATTTATTGCTAACTGGAAATGTAGTTTTAACCACGCAAATGTTTTCTTCTGGCTTTTGGCTTTGCAAAGTTCCTGCACTTCTAGAAATGTTCACTGGTGCAAGGAGCCAAACGTGGAGTACAGAAGCTGCATGAAATAAGTGTTCATAGTGATGTGAGAGATTTCAACTCCTCAGCACATAAGGCTTATCCAAAGATTAACTAGATATTGATGCTTTATAAGGCTCATGCGTTTTTACTTCCAGTATTTTTGCTAAATGTGCTTTTAGGTTTTGTTCCTCCTTCATGGAAATGTTCAGTGAAGTTTGAATTCATGGTGAATTTACCTTGACTGGGAGAATTTTTGCTTTTGAGTTACCTGTATTTATTTCTGTGGCTTAGAGGTAGTTATTAAAATGACGTTATGATTTGATCAACTAAGATACTGTTTCTGCTGTAAAATTTTGGCTGGGTTAGAGGTTATGAACCAGACTACTATTGCAATCACCCTTCAGTTTTTTTAAGTCCTTCTGCAGTGGTGTGAAAATGTAAAAATTCTAATATTTATTAATCCAGTTCTCTTAAATACAGTATTTGTCTTGTACCATGCATGCGTGACCATGAGCCTTTGTAAGGATTTTACCTTTTTTTTCACCTGTTAGCCTTGTAAAACAAATGAACTGCCCCAGGGACAGCAGCTGTTTTCCAGTGGGTGAATAAACGAGTGGGCCCTACTCCTGTTTAGTAGCACGTGACTAATTTTACTCCAGCAACCAGACCTTCCAACAGTTCAAGAAACAACTTGAGTAACGTTAATCACATGTGTAGCTGTTTCCAGGGCCAAAGCTCACTCTTTATCTTAGTGTGAGGGCACTGAGGTGATGAGATGCTTTTGCTATGGAGCTGGTAAAATAATGTTTTGTGAAGGTTTAACCGTGCTGGATTGGGAAGATGAGGGCCATGGTATTGAGGCTGCTGTTCCTGTGCCACCCGTAGCCCCAGGGATGCACTGAAGGTGCTTGGCACAGCCCCACACGGAGCTGAGCGTGTGAAGGTGGCACAGAGTGACCGGGTGCAGTCACCTAGAGCAATACTCCAGTACAATACTCTTGGACCACAGCTGGGCCTGCTGGGATGGGTTAGAGCTCCCCTTGGGAAAGGGTTTGGGTTTGCTGGTAATGGTGATCTGTGAGATGTCATTCATCTGAGGTTTAACTGTCCTCACCAAACCCAGCTCCTGCCTGTGCTGTCACAATATCCCATAGAGAATTCTCTAAGCACACTGTCCACTGATACATGCTGTAAATCATATATTTTATTAATAAAAGTACACAGAGAATACACTTTGTCAGGATGCTTTTTATGCTCTTTCCTGCCCCTACCCTCTTCTGCGTTCGCAGGTATTTTTGAATGAGTGGTCGCTACCTTGTGCCTGGGGAACTGTGTTCCCATTCCTGTCCTAGGCTGAGTGGTGCTGGTCACTGCCTTCAGCTGCTCCAGCCACACAGCATCCTCAGTGCCCAATAAAACCAGTGCCAGCTGCAATTCCCAGCCCCTGAGCGCCAGAGTAGACACGGGGAAGGCATTCTCCTCCCTGCACTCTTGTCCTGGTGCCACTGATGGTGCTGAAATGCCACAAGCACCACTTAGGTGGTTTGTATCTACAATGTGACAACTGCAGTGTCATTCGTGCCACCAGTTACTGCAGACTGAGGTGTTTATCCAGCTGACACAGTGCCGAGGTGCAGGAGAGCCCTGTGCCTCAAGTCCTTTGTCACTTCCCTGCTAGGACATGGCTGCTGCCTGGAAAACACGCTGGATATGCAGCAGCACCTGTTCCCCTACTGCTGTGTTCAGGGAGGACAGGATCATTTATTGCTTAACTACAGATCCTTTTATTATCAGCCTGATGGGAAAAGGTCAGGTAGTGCTGACAAGCAGAAACCTGTGGGATTTCCCCTCCTGGAGAGGGGCTGTGGATGATGGAATACCAATATTTTAATAGAGATTTTTATTGTCAACCTCTTAGGCACAGCAGAGCTGGGAAGCAATTTCCTGTGTGCTGCTCTTCTGCTCTTCCCCTCGGGCTGTAGAGGTGTAAAACATCCTGGCTCCCATCAAACACTCCTTTTATTGAATAAAAGGTGCCTACTTTTACACTTTCCCATGGAATTGGCTGTTGTAAAGGGAAGGACTAGTGTCTTGGATCGAGGTGTGCTGGGAGTGGGGCTGCTGCGTAATGACTGTGGGTGTCTGCAGCTGTTTGTTTGCCTGCAGCAAACATCTTATTTAACTTGGTTTGGGCTTGTAAAGATAAGCGGTGGACTAAAACCAGTGTTTGTTTCACAGCTGAGAGAATAAAAACTGTGAATACAATTTCTCTACACCGTGAATTTTACCCTCCAATTTTAACAGTCTCAACCTTTGCAAACAGGAAAACAGCCCTGGTTGGTTTGAATGATGCTTTTCTGAGCCTGGGCTCTCCACTAGGAGGCAAACGTTACTGTAAAGAGATGGAAGCTTTGGAACCGCAAGCGATCACGGCGAGGTGTGGTCACTGTCCCTCGAAGTCACCTCCGGAATCAACAGTGATCAGTTGTTGCTAAATATGAAACACCATAAAAGCGTTTCCAGAGTGGATTACACAAAACAAAGAGCTCAGCCGAGGCGTGCAGGGTGAAGAGCCCTTGTGCTGGGAGGATGCTGGGTGTGTCCAGCTCAGGAAAGGGCGCTTTTTCACATTTGGGGAACAGAAATACCAAATAAAGAATATAAAAATAATCCTGGCATGTTTTAGACTTGAGAACAATGCAATGTTTTGGGTTGGAAAGGACCATAAATCCCATCCAGTGCTACCCCTGCCAGGGGCAGGGACACCTTTCACTGTCCCAGGGTGCTCCAAGCCCTGTCCAGCCTGGCCTTGGGCACTGCCAGGGATCCAGGGGCAGACAGAACTCTCCTTTTTACTTGTTTCCAACATTTAGAATACCTTGGAACCACGAGATAAACCAGTGGGGTTATCTTGGCACAGGTCTTGTTAATTGTTTGATTTCAATTGACTTAAAGTTTGGGGGTTTTTTTGCTTTTTTTTTTCCCCTGGAAGAAAAACGTTTGTATTGCACTTTTTTTTTGCTTTTTTTTTTTTCCTGGAAGAAAAACGTTTGTATTGCACCCCAGTACAAAAATTCCTTTTCCCAGGAATCTGTGGCCATTGTTTCTCTTCTATTAATGTGTGGTTTTGTGTCCATCCAACACTGCCATTGTCACAGCATTTTCCATCCAAGGATTCAAATGACAAGCATTAATTAGATTCAAGTGCCTCAAGGAACCTGTGTAGTGGTTCAAGCACACGGCTGAAAGTCAGGCCTTGTGAATGCTATTTCTGGCTCTGCATTGACTCACTCTATAATCTTGATCAATTTATTTCTGACTCAGAAATTTTAATAGTCCCACTTGACTGATAAATATTAATGACACAAGTGTTGTGGCAAATGCTTCCTGAATGAGGGTGGTGACAAATGCTCATGTTAGCCTGTGATTTGAGGCTTGCAAATAGGATGGGGTTACCTGGGCAGGTTTTTATTCAGAATCACAAGTAGCTCATTGTTCTGATTTCAATCTCAAAGGTTTCTGCAGCCCCTCCACCTGTAAACAGATGTTTTATCAAATTAATTATCAAATTAATGCAATTGGTGCTTTCTTTTTACTACAAATTCTCTCCCAGTGCTGTCCCAGAGACATCCAGATTTTCCACAGGGTCAGATATTTGGTACAGTCATGCAAGGCCTGCCGTCAAATTCAGGAGAAGTGTTGGTGTTACAAAAGGCAGATTTCAAATCTCCAAACATTAGTGTACATGAATAGAAGGCAAAAATTCTTATGACAGGTATTGTAGTACAGGATGATTGTAACACTTGTGCATACAAGTTTTTTCTCTAGCTTTAAAGAGTTCTGACACAGAAATAAGTGATTTCTTCACATTTGTAATGGGAAGCAAACAAAGAACACTACTGGAGTTGTATCTGCGTGGCTTCACTCTGATGGTGTTTCTGTTATTGAACTCCTTCAGTGAGTACAGTAATAAAAACCCACGATTTATACTCTTATGGCTGTTGATGGGAGGACTTCATGGTGTAAAAGGCTCATTTACAACTTTTGGTAAGCAAAGTGCTGATAAATATAGATATACGTATGAGAGAGATAAGACTGAAGTCACAAAATTACACCAAAAAGAGGTGTAGTTTTGACTTAGGCCTCCAAATAAACCTTGAAGTGGCGTTAAAACAGAAAGACGAGAACAAGATTAAAAGCAGGTGGGCTGTGGGGGGCCCTTGTGGCTCTGCACAGCTCCTGCCAGGAGGGGACAGCCGGGGGGTCGGGCTGTGCTCAGGGAACAGGGACAGGAGCAGAGGGAACAGCTCAGGCTGGGCCAGGGCAGCTCAGGGTGGGCACAGCAGGAATTTCTGCATGGAAAGG